GTGGTGGTGGGTGGTGGTGGTAGTAGTAGTAGTAGTAGTAGTAGTAGTAGTAGTAGTAGTAGTAGTAATAGTGACGGTAGCGGGGCTGGTGGTTTTAGTAGCAGCAGCAACAGCCTGTGAACGGCTCTTACGGCTAAAGACAACATTATTGAAATTGGTTCACCGTATTAGCCACAAAAAGTGTGCAGCCTACTTCAAATCAGTACGTCTAATCGGATCGGTTACAAAAGGGTACATGTTCAATGACTGAAAAGCGAACATCATCCCACTTTCCAATTAAGAGACTGAACTGTAAACAAAGTTTATTTACGTATGTTGGAGGCGGCCATTTGTTGGTAAACTTTGCAGGCAGCGTTACGAAGAAAGGAAATGCGGCTTTCGAGAACAAGTCGCAGTCAATTTGTATCAGGAGCTGTGTAAATATATCCCTAGGCCAAGTTTATTAATATCCATAACATTTCTAAATTCCTCCCCAGACACATTCAGTCTCTGCCCCTTCATTTTATAAATTTGCATGCTAACATGCAAAGTCTATTTACGGCTAATGTAATTCTCTTGCGTCATTTTCTTTCATTAATGTAGAACTTGATTGTGGTGTTTCGAAAGTAAACACTAAGCTTAAATTTCGAATAATAACTATTAAAAGTGACCTCGAGAAGAGTGAGAATGGAAGAAGTAAAGAAACAAGCAGAATGAAGAAGAGATAAAGACGAAGATTTTAAAGAAAAAAGATAGTCTTCTAATAATTCAAAGGACTGGATATCGTTAGTGGTTGTAAGAAGGGTGTGTAGACGACTAAGCGAGGAGAGTATGAGAACGAACCAGCAAAACTAGCACAATAAACAGCTCCCTGAAACAGCGTGGGAGTTTCGAAGGTGAAGGCCACATGTACAGGTTAGGTTGTGGCAGTCACGCGACCAAATTCACTGTTTAACAGAAAGTATCGCTTATCTTCTATTGTTCGAGAAGCAACATCGCAGCCATAAATCAAAACATTTTATTATATAACGCTCATTAACACACGTAGCACCATAATATAAATTATACACCAATTACGACTGCTTGCAAAATTCACATGACGGTCTTTAATGAAGTGACCTATAAAGCATCAAGTTCTGCATTATACTGAGCACAGTATGCAAGACGGCAAAGGCAGGAGGTACTTGTTTGACATCTGGTTCATACATTACCTTACAATCCAAGACTACGAGTCCAGGGCAAATTTTCCAGCGTCAAAAGAAGGTAGGTATGCAAACTAAACGAAACCGCCACACGTAAACAAGTAAAACACGCTCGTCTTGACAGGAGGCAGCCTGTCTATTCCACTACAAGCATTAAACTCACTCAGTCTCTCTCTCTGTCTGCAGAACAGCAATCTGTTGCGCTACATACTGACTGCGAGACAGAAGCGAGGCGAGATGAGATGGCACAGAGCTGCAACTGACATCTAGTGGTAGCTAGGTACAATTCATTGCATGTTAGTCGGTGGATTGATTGATACAGCAGCGAACAAATTGTGGTAGTTTGTACAGGTAATATTGTCCCTGTCCACTATTGTATAAAGACATATGAGGAAGTAGATGCATAGCTCCACCTTTCTTGACCTCGGCACTATATAGTGGTGAGTGGTCAGCTTCACGCACCTGCCTCTCCCCGCCCCGGGGTGAAAGAGCCGCCGGTACCTATTGAATGGGAGGCTGGGAGGACACCACAGTCGGTCTGGACACTGTGAAGAAGAGAAAAATCTTGCACTACCAGAAGTCGAACACCAGCCGTGCAGTCCGTACGCCATCGCTGTACCGACTGAGCGATTCCGACTCTAATTGTGACAGTTTATATGTAATTCAGCTGCAGAGAGGAAGTTCATAGAAAGCGGACGTTCACCTGCACTAATCAGGAAAGCTATATGAGTGTCTTCTGCAGTATTTAACGGCGCGTTTTCAACCGTATAATTGTCATAGCACGATCACAGAAGCCGTGTATTCAAAAAGTTCTTACTATTTTCGGCCGCTAGCAATGCTGGGGCTGTAGGTTTAAATGAAAGGGGGTACGCGATCGCTTAGTTGGTTGAGGCACTACGCTACAAGCCGGAAGGTCGCGGGTTCGAATCCCGATGAGGTGGGTTATTTTCAATTGGCCTAACCCTTCCAGCCGCGCTATGGCCCTGGGGTAGACTCAGCCTCTACTAAAATGAGTACCAGGAATCTTCCTCGGTGCTAAAGGGCGGCCTGCACGTAAGGCTGACAACCTTACAGCCATCTGTGAAACAACTGTGTAGAGAAAATGTGGAAGCCTCGACGTCTCACAACCTTGTGGGCTTTCAAGGCCTGTCACAAGAATTGGTTTACCATTTACCTTTTACCTAGGTTCTTATATCACGCCGAACGTGGGTATATGCTTGCGTTTTTCTTTCTTGTGTTTTTGTTGTGCTGTGTAGGTAGTGGCCTTTCGAGGGAACGATCACCCGGCGAAGGAGTCCTATCAAACATCCACGAGATTTATAATTTCATCAACATGTTCCTAATCCATGACGGCCGAAGAACAAAAAGAATATATTTCATAACTCAAAATGGTAGGTTGTAAACAATGGATTAATGACAGTGAAGTAAGGGATCACCGCCTGTTGTTACTGTCGCATCATCTGTCTAGAAACACTGAACATCTACGTCGGACAGCCCTGCATTCAAAACTGGGACTTCCTGAAGGAGGAACAGCGCTAACCACAGCTTGATTGCGACGTTCGGTGAACATTGCATGCCAGGATACCCGGTACCACACCTGAGATTCAAACAAAGTCGAGTCTGAAGCGTTACATCTTGTACTAAACTGTTTATTCAGAGAGGCTGCAAGAGACTATTAAAGCTTTCATTTATTTATCTTTGGTATAACTGACGTCATTGCCACAACCTCAGACTATACAGTGTCCCAGGAGGAGAGATCAATATTCTGGGAATTCATAATATCGGTCGTTCTAGGCAAAAAATGTTATATGTACGAATACATGTGGGGGCACGTGGTAGCGTAGTTGGTTGAGGCACTATGCTACAAGCCGGAAGGTCGCTGTTTCGAGTCCGTCATTTGTATTTTTTAATTTATCTAATACTTCCAGCCCCACTAGGGACCTGGGGTCGACTCAGCCTCTGACAGAAATGAGTACCAGGAAGGTTCCTGGGGGCAGGTAAAGGACGGCGGACGCGTAAGGCTGATAAACTTACCGCCATCTGTGAACCAACTGTCTAGAAGATGTGGGAGTCTCAACTTCTCCCATCCCCATGTACCGTCATGGCCTGTTACAGGATTCCTTTACCTACTTTTATATACACAGATATCCTATTTCGAACGGTTTCCGAGATAGAGCTATTTCAGTGTACAGTTCCAAAGATGTTGATAAGAAATAGATATTACTTACTGTTTCTAATACCGGTATTTATTGTTCAAGTGACAAAATTTGGTACAGTTTACCTAGTATAATGCATTTTCGAAGATTCCTCAGTCAACATCAATGAACTTTGCAACTCGTGTGAGGTCACGGCGTGCTGCTCGTCTGTTCAGTGTGCAGTGAACTGCAGAGTGAAACCGGTCGGAACGAGAGACATGTACATATACTATTTTTTACTTAGAATAACCGATACTATGACCTCCCAGAATATCGATCTTTCCTCCCGGATCACTCTGTATAGCGTCGAAACCAGATGAACTGAAAACTAGTCTTGGACTGCCATCAATCCCTCTTGAAGCAGGCTAACATAACAGACTTCAACTGACATGGGTGCCGGTGCAAGAAGGTATTGAAGGTAATGAAAACGTAGATCAACTGGCAAAATTGGGAGCTAGGACCTGAACCAGCTTGCGGCATCTCAGCAGGAATTGTCAAGAAAGACGTCAGGGGCTGGAAATGAGACGTCAAAAATATTTGGAATTCTTAGCAGCACTCAAACAGGCAAAGGGATTCATGCAGTTAGATAGAAGAACCAAGCAATTGCTAAAACTGAACAGCAACCAGTTGCGGTGGGACGACAGGACTACTCACAGGACACTATCAACTGAAATGACACTACTTCAAAGTGGGATTGATAGACATTCCCACAAGCAAAGTGTGCATATGAAAGTTGGATCAGCCAACGCATCATATGTGAGTGTAATGCTACAGTTTACCTAAGATTTCGGTAAGTGGGCCATTGCTTTACGGAGCCACGTGAATGCCAAGATGCCCCTGTAGTTTTAGTTAGTTTCCTAGTTTCTTGGGTTGGGGTGAGACTGAGTCCACTTGGTACGTCGGCCACTATTTGGCCTATTGTACCAGCCCCGGATGATAGATGATGAGTGTGGAGAAGTTGGTGGAATGAAAGTTGACAGAGGAAACTGAAGTACTTTGTCCACCACAAATCCCATATGATTTGACCTGGGTTCGAACCCGATCCGTTGCGGTGGGAAGTCGACAACTAACCGTCTGAGCTATGGCACTGCCCCAGACGCCCCTGTAAGTACGATATTACATTTCGAATTGATTATAAAACTGTCGAATGCTTGAAACAAAGGAGAATGCATAATACGTACAGATGATTGAAGGTCGCGTTACAAGGGCCGGTCTAGGCCTTCTCCTTATGCATTCATTCATATAGCGTGGAATAGTAGAATGAGTAAGATCTAAAAGTTTGTGATGATGGTAAATTGTTAAAATTAATATGTTGCTGGACATTATCCATCATCCTGTCTGTTCTTAAAAAACCGTCTAGTTTCTATTAAAAACACAACGTTTCGGGAACTGGAATCTGTCTCCGTCTTCAGGTAAAACCTACTCAGTTGGGTCCAATAGATAGAGCTAGCCCCTATCTCCGGACCGGATTCCAGTTCCCGAAACGTTGTGTTTTTAATAGAAACTAGACGGTTTTTTAAGAACAGACAGGATGATGGATAATGTCCAGCAACATATTAATTGTAGTAGAATGAGTAATGAATTTAAAGGTCCGTGGAAGAAATGCTTGTGACTTAATTTTCTGCACTATCCTGACATTTACCTGGATGAAGTAGGAAAACTGTAAAATATAACTCAGTCAGGAAATTGAAATAAGTAGGTGCACCGACCTAAATTTGAAACGAACATTTTACGAGCGATGTGCCCATGAGGCACATACCTCAATTGGATTTATTGTAACTAAACTCGGATTATAAAAGGGGTAATATATTTATACTAACTTACATATTCATTTCATTTGTTCTGACTGAGAGAAGCGAGTCTCGGTACTAGTAACATGTAATAAGTTTGTGGTAGAATAATTTTACGGCCAGCGGCCCCAGGCACGTGGTCATTACTAGTAAACAAACAAATTCATTTGAAACTTTAGAAATATAAATTACTTTCACATTACATAATACTGCCTTTCAACACTTCTCGTTGATTACTTGCAACGGACGCTGTGACGTTGCATAGCTCTCAACTGTCAATTTCGTCTTCCGTGACGCTTTCCAGCCAGATAAGGGCTTGGAAGTGTTTGACGTGTGGTGATAGCGCAGGCGGAAGAGAAGCAGCGTCATGCTAGAGAGACATCAGGCCTATACAAACTCTGCTTCTACTGATAACAAGTGCGGAGCTGAAATTCACGCCTGAAAGAACGTAGGTTGCACCAAAACGAGGTTAAATTAGACAAGTCGAGACGACAAAACAACTATGAAAGTTAAATCAAACACGCCGGAATACATTATTTAAGAACTTAGAAAGGACCTCATCTCAAAACATGAGACTGAAGAAAATTATTTTTTTCAGCGCGCACTTCGACGGAAGTGCGCACGACCTTCTTCTCATTAAGCAGGGCAAAACCAGAAGGCATAGTTCACGTCACGGATGCGCTGTCTAGAGAACGGTCACTATTGAAGATACTTATATCAATAAATTTTATTGGCATTTAGGACATTTCCCACCTACTTAAGTTCTTTCAGACACAGAATTTACAAAAGTGAAACTGTTTCCTTCATTAGGTCTGGGGGGGGGATGTTCCTACTCCGTTTGGCTTATTAGAAAAAGCTCAAATCGATAAATGGACACGAAAATAAGTTTTTAGCAGAGTACGTAAGGTAATCGCCCGAAATCGCCAACTATTGTTATAAGTAACATTAATTAAGAGTGATTAACATGTGTTTGCACATGCTGGGAATAATCCTATTCATGCACGATTGTGGGCGACTTAGGCCAGTTCTTGCTGGGAGGCCCTGAAATGTTGGTCGTCTTTCTTAGAATTTTTGTGAAGTTTCAAGACATCACCTTATCTTTCAGAGCTTGAGATTTGACAGGTGCGTAGTAGTAGTGCGTGGAGGAGTAGTTTCTTGAACCGACTTTTCGGGATTATCCATCAAGGGCCTGTCTGTCGTGCCGTTGTGGACTTAG